GATTATCTGGGTTTTTGTTCCTCCAGATTCTCTCTGAGGTCAACAGGGTTGTAGTGTACAATTCCTCATGAACATCAGATTACCATTTGTTATAGTCTTTATTAATCTTTAGAACGAACCCATTTCTTTAAAAGGATCAGTTTCTCATCCCAAACTTCAGTTAAGGTCTGACCCATCCTGAAATTTTTGATTCCTGAAAACTTATGTCTCTATTTCTCAGGTTATCATTGGTAGGCAAGCAATATTCTCATTTATCTTATCATAATCAGAAAAATCTTGCCCCTTCCAGAGTTCTACTCTCTCTGGAAATCCTTTACAGACAAGTCGGTGCGAAATAGGGTAGCCCTACTTTCTGTTTGGGCCATCCTTGACTCCAAAAGCAGTCTTTCAAAAAAAGAAATATCTATCGGGGTCACTCTCTGTAAATCTTAGGGACAACATTTGCAGCTTTAGTTATGTTTTAAAGTACTACTCAGGCTCTTGTTTGAACGCCTAACCTTTGAGTTTTCCTCTTAGTTTCATTAAGTTCATCTGAGCCTCTAGTACTGCTAGTTTTAGTCTCATTCTCTCCATTTCCATGTCACCTGGAGTAGGTGATTACTCATCGTCACTGTTAACAGGCATGTTTACTGATGATTATTACTTCTTCCCTGAAACCTAAAAAGTATGAAAAACTATCTTCTGCATGGCTTTATCTTTAACACTTGCTTCCCTCTTACAGTATCCGTGGACAAAGTTTTCTCAGGCAATATATAAACACCAAATTGAATGGTAAACTTTGCACATAGACACTTACCATAACCCACTACAAAAATGTGTTAATCAACCGTTCTCCCCCTTAGGAGAAAAACAACCTGTAAACTAATATATGAAAACTCACTTCCCCGGACACCACCTTGGTTAATCTTCTACCAGAACATGCAATGTTGTTACCCAACATACGCACATATAGTTCAAAGAATGTTTTGAGTTATTTTGAGCAGTATAATAAAACTATCCCGGACAAGCCCCCATGTTATCGGTGGTTGTCCCTTATTACTTTGATAGTAAGGTTCTCACTACATGTTCGCGTGTGGGGGTAGCTTTTAGTAATGGCCTTATCTGTTCTAGGGGTTTAATATTACATTTTGGTGATTCATCCTGAGTGTCTCTGATATTATATCCTTTCACCAGCTCTTCCAGGTTATGTAAACTACTACTCTAAACAATAATTTTTTAAAAATAAAATAACCTGTATTCTCAATAGATATGGACAGAATGTACAATGTCAGCTCACCACTTTAAAACAAAGATCTACACTACTCCATAGCTGTTATCCACATGTGTATCTTTCTAACTTTTGTTCTTCTCTCTTCTTGACATAACTCTGGGCTAACCAGTGTTTTGACACACTTTCGTCACTTGGGTATGGTGGCCACAATTAAATTATAAAATCTCAACCCCTGGAGCACACATACTGCCCCAAAGTTAGAAGAAGGACCAGAGAGCCTGCCAGGTTGAAAGGTCAGCAAGAGAGGAGCCTCAGTGAGAGGGAGAGAGAGAAAGACTAGCTAAGCTCCTCCCACAAAACAAAAGACTGTTGGCCACGCACAATTTCAGTTACTACATTCTACCACCTAATTTTACTTTTACAAAAAGAAATAAACTGTATAAACTACTTATTTAAATGTGTGTTTATGTACTTAGATAACTATTTGTTTAGAAAAATAGGCTTGGACCCAGCTTCCTCCAGTATAAGGTTGATCAGCCCTTATGACAGTTGAACTGGAGTCCCATCAATTCCATTTAATTAGGTATTCCAGTGCGTATCTGTTATTATAAATACATGTTGGGTCTATAGGCACATAACACTCGGGCATTCCCCATCATAGAGTTTCGCCATTCCAAAGCCAGCCACTGGATGGCGAACGTCCACAAAACAAAGACAACAGACGCCGCACATGTGTTTAATTTCCATCAGTAGGTGTAGTAGTTGTAGTAGAAGAAGAAGAGGTAGTAAGTAGTGGTAGTGGTAGAAGTGGGAAATAAGGATGAAAGCGTCAAATACAAGGAAGGGGAGCACTGCAAGAGAGGTAGTTGCCCACAGAGGGAGAGCGCAAGGCACAGCGGTTGCGTGTGAAAGGGGAATGTGGTGAAATAATTGACGAAGGAACAGAACAGATGAAGGAGAGAGAAAGACAACCAGCGGAAAAAGGAAAAGAGGAAAAGGGGAAAGGGAAGAAGAAGAAAAAGAAAAAGATAAATTGAGATTTCAGGTTACGACAGGGTGTTCTGAAGTTTGGAGCATTTTACATGTAAGTGGTTAGGGAGAGGAAGGCATCTACAGAGACGAAGCAAGGGCTACGGTTCATACACGGAAAGTTGTGTATTAGGAGGAATTAACTTAGACGGCGACTGTATGAGTGGAAGTAGGGAAGACAGTTTTAGCAGAGAACCAGATCAGTGGAAGGCTAATGAATCTCTGGTGACCAGAAAGAGAATTGCTGTGCGGCAAGCCTAACACTATTTTTGTGCTCCCTAAGTCTGTCAGAAAGAGTCGACCAGTTTCTCCGAAAGTATTGATGAGGACAGGAGGAGCAGTAATAGAATGACACCAGGAACATCTGTAGAGGGAGGAGACGGTCTGACTAGATTAGTGCGAGAGTGTTAGTAGGGGAAGGTAGCTTGATGGCTAAGGGACGGGAGAGAATTTTTGCAGTTAGAAAGACCGGCAATGTAGGAAGCAGAGGATAGAGAGCTCCCATTGTTGTATGAGAGTTTGGGAGAGAGAGAAGGAATTGCGTTTTAGCAGTGAGAGGGCTGGTCTAAGAAATGGGAAATAGGTAGCAAGATGGGAGAAGAATATGAGAGTAGTTGGAACTTTCTGCTGGAGGAAAACTGAGGATCACAGATGTGGAGGGCTCGGAGGAAAGAGGGGAAGATAAGAAACTTTTCTTGAAAGGGGAAGCATGATAGGAAAAAGTAGTGAAATGGTACATGCCTATGGATAGGTTTTCTGGTAAACGGAAAGGAAAAGCCTGTATGCTGAACGGTGGACATGGACATCAAGGAAAGGAAGCAAGGAATTAGATTCCCATTCAGTTTTAAACTTAATGGAAGGGGTTGATTATTAAGGCTTCAAGAAAGGTTGGAAGAGACTGGAGTCATGAGGCCACAGAGCAAGATGTCATCCATATAGCGGAGCCAGAGTGAAGGATGCACATCGAGGGTAGGGAAGAATAACCAGTCTCGAAGTATTCCATGTAAAGATTTCAAGGACAGGGAGAGAGAGGAGAGCCCATAGCGATCGAAGTTTGAGAATAATATTTCCCTTGGAAGGAAAAGGAGTTAGAGACCACAAGATGTGGATCAGATCAAGAAAGGACATCAGTGGGGATCTGGAGTGAAGACACCCTTCAGGGCCTTTCTTAAGGAATTCAGGACTCACATGAAGAGGGACATTGTGGAGAGGGATCAACGTCAAGACTAAGCATCTTACAGGTTGGGCAGAAGAGGAACCCGTTCAATGAAGTCTTGAGAGTGACGGTGGTAAGTGGGCAGGAGAAAAAGTACAAGAAAGGGAGTGAGGTTTTGGCCAGCCAAGAAGCAAAGAGAATAAGAGGACAGACCTCTAGAGGATATGCTAGGAGAAGAGGAATATCAGTTTGAGTTTTGGGAAGGCCATAGAATTAGGAAGCGAGGGACAGATGACACGAATCGTTGAACAAGGTCAATGTCAGGAGTGACAGAGGTCGGAGAGAGTCCTTAGTTTTTTGTTGAAAGTTCTCTTGATGCGATCACGAGGGTTGGAAATGAGAGGAGAGTAGGTGCGTGAGGTCAGGAGCAAGACATCAGCTTTACGGAGGTAATCCTCGCGATCAAGGATAACTACGAAAAGACCTTTGTCAGAAGTTAGTATGACACTGTTAGTGTTGGCTTTAAGAGAAAGAACGGGCAAGTTGGTCAATGGCGTGGAAGGTGGTGTTTCTTAGAAAACAGACTATCAAAGAGGACGGAAGGAGAGCAACACGAAAAGTGGACAAGTCAGGAGATTACGGAAAGCGAGATTGACGAAAGGAAATCAAAAGAGCTAATCAGGGAACTACCCAGCGCGTGGAGTAGGTGAAGTGGCAAAGGAAAGGCCAAAACAAGAAGTTCAAGCTCATACTTGAGATGAGTGAGAACTGAAGACAGATTAGTACACAGTCAGTGAGGGAGGAAATTCGACCAAGGGCTTAGCGAGATGAGACGATGACGTTTATTTTGTAGTTTGGAAGAATGAATTTGTGCATTCAGGCCGAGCAGTGTCAAGGCAATGGTAGAGAGAAGGTTACAGAGATCTGTGGTGGAGCGCAAAGAGAGCACGTGACGTTGACGGCAAGTAAAGAAGGCATCTGTGAATAGTAGAAAGAATGAGCTGTTGAAGGATTGGGATATGGGCTTGATCAGGAAAGGAGTGCCCAGTGGGTTGGTTTTCGGTAGTGGGAGATGGAAGGTGGCGAACTTGTTGGCAAGACAAGTGTTGCATACAGGGCCACTACTTATGCCTGTAGCCCTTTCTTGCAAACAAATAACAGGATTGAATTTCTTGTTCTAGATGAAATCATTCAAGGGTTCAGTAGTAAACAATCACAAGGTTTCTTTCGGTTTTTTATTAAGTTTCTTAATAAAAACCATAAAAGGGTTTTATTTTAATTTAAAAAGGTCGCACCATAAACAGAGTACTCATGAAATTCCACTTAAGTTCACTTAAAAGATAATACACAGTATTATCTTGATATAGTATGAACGGCTTCTAGTATCATAAACACCTTCTCTCACATAAATAACACTTTACTTAATCAATCCAAATTGAGACAGAGACGGTACACTTCAATTATAATTCATCTTATTCAACTTTCATAATTTACTATGTGAGATTAGGGTATATTTTACACTTTAAGGAATTTTGAGGGCGAGTCTGTCTCCCATGATTTTTCACATCCTCTTTGACCAATACTGCTTAAATTCACTCCTAGCAGAGCTAGGGACAATCACCAGCATCTCCAAAACAGCAACACACACTTCGTCCGAGACGTTTCTGTCAGATATCGTCCGAGGTACTGGAGGGTCACTAGGGAACCTCATGTGGGACCAGAAGTTTAAATCCAGGAATCAGGGAGCTTCCCTCACGAGAGGTGAGGAAGGTAAGAACTGAACTCTGTGAGGCTTTACCAGCCCACTTTGTCTGACGGAAAGTAAAGAAGGCATCTTCAACCTGTGATTTAGTAGAAAGAATGAGCTGTTGAAGTAGGAGACGGGCATGATCAGGAAAGGGAGTGCCCAGTGGGTTGGTTTTCAGGAAGTGGGAGAAGGAAGGTGGCAGAACTTGTTGAGCAAGACAGTCACGTAGGAAGCGAAGCTGATTCTTATGACGCCTGGTAGCAATAAGAGCAGCCTCATAAGATCGAAAGAGAGGTTTAAAAGAGGGAAGACAATTAAAAAAGTTGGAGAGAATATGACACTTAACTGCAGGGCTCATAATATAACAAAAAAGGCACAATTACGTGGATGGAATCGATAACACAAATAACCCGCCACAATAAAGAGAGAAGCTTACGACGACGTGGCGGTCCGACTTGGACATTGACAAAGTCACACTAACCAGAGGTGCGAGGCAACGGGCGCTCTTTGCGGCTCTACCACAGGATCTCTGAACCTTGCTCTCTTCCAGTGCTTTGACAGCTCGCCTGATATGCCCAAATTCATTCTTCCAAATTACAAAATATAACTGGTTCTCATCTCAGCTAGCCCTTTTGTCTAAATTCTCCTCAATGTCGGTGTTACTAATCTGTCTTCTGTTCACTCTCCAGTATGAGCCTTTGAAACTTCTTGGTGGTGGCCTGTCCTTTGCCTCTTTCGCCTATCCTCGTGCTGGTATTTCCCTGATTAGCTCTTGTGATTCCTTTCGTCAATTCTCGACTTCCGTAATCTTCCTGGACTTGTCCACTTGTTCGTTGGTGCTCTCCGTCCTGCTCTTGTTAGTCTGTTTCTAAGAATCAACCCCCTTCCAGCCAGTACCATCTTGCCCTTTTTCTTTAAATCCAACCACTAACATGGTCAGTACTATCTTCTGACAAAGGTCATTCGGTTAGTTATCCTTGATCGCGAGGATTACCTCGTAAAGCTTGATGTCTGGCTCTTGACTCACGCACCTACTCTCCTCTCGTTTCCAAACCCTCTTGATCGCTTTTCAAGAGAACTGTCAACAAAAAACTAAAAAAAAAAAAAAAAAAAAAAAAAAAAAAAGGAACGTCTCTCCGCCCTCTGTCTCCTTGACTGTGACCTTGTGCGACGGTTTCGTGTCATCTGTCCTCTCTTCCCTTATTTCTATGGCTTCCCAAAACGCAAACTGATAGTTCTCTTCGTCCTATCATATCTCTAGAGGTTCTGTCTCTTATTCTCTTGGACTCTTGGGCTGGCGAAAACCTCACTCCTTTCTTGGTACCTTTTTCCTGCTCACCTCCGTCACTCTCAAGATTCATTGAAGGGTTCGCTCTTCCATCCTGTATGATGCTTAGTCTTGACGTTGATCCTCTTTTACCAATGTCCTCTTGATGATGTCCTTGATTTCGTTAGAGAGAAGGGCCATGAAGGGTTTCTCATCTCCTTCCCCACTGATTGTCTTTCTTGATTGATCCGCCTCTGTGTGGACTAACTCCTTTTCCTTCCAAGGGTAAATATTTTTCTCCAACCTTCGGGGTCGCTTTGGCTCTCCTCTTCTCTTCCTGTCCGTGCTATCTTCACATGGAATACTGTCGAGACTGTTCTTCCTTCCCTCCGGTGGTGCAACCTTCTTGGCCTCCGCTATGGGGAGGACATCTTTGCTCTGTGGCTCTCAGGATCTCCAGTCTCTTCCATACCTGTTCTGAAGCTCTTAATAATCTTGCCCCTTCCATTAAGTTTAAAGCTTCCTTTCCTTGTGTCCATGTTACCGCTCAGATACAGGTTGTTCCTTTTCCGTTACGTAAACCTTGCACAGTGGCATGTACATTCACTATTGTCAGATCATGCTTCCCCTGTCAAGAAAGTGTTTTATCTCCTCTTCTCCGTGCCTTCGCAGCTGTGATTCTCAGTCCTTCCAGCAGAAATTCCACTCTTCAGAATTCGTTCTCACCGTCTTGGCTACCCTTCCCTTTTCATAGATTCTGCCCTCTCGCGTGCTAACGCAATGTCTTCACTCCCAAACTCTCTACTCTTGGAACTCTTCTATCTTCTGCCTTCCTACATTTCCGGTCTTTCTAATCTCAACAATTCTCTCCGTCCTTAGACATCAAGACTTACTTCCGCCTGGACTAACACTCTTCGCACTAATCTGTTCATACCTTCTCCTCCCTCTTACAGTTGTTCGTGGTGTCTACTTTTTCTTTGCTCTCTGTCCTCTTCAATACTTCGGAGAAACCTGGTCGATCTCTTTCTGACGATTAGGGAGCGCAAAAACATAGTGTTAGGCTTGCCGACATAACAAATGTCTTTTTCTGGTAACGTTCAGAGATAATCGGCCATCCTATTGACTGGATCTTCTGTAAAACTGTTTCCCTCCTTCAACTCGAACAGTCGGCCGTCTAGTAGAATCCTCTCTACTACACAACTTTCCTTGTATGAACCTGTACCCTGGCTTCATCTCTGTTAGATGTTCCTCTCCTACTAACATTGTATATTAAATGCTCCAACTTCCGAGAACACCCGTGACTTAACTGAATCCCATTTTTTCTTTTTTCTTCTTCTTCCGCTTCCCTTTCTCTTTCTTTACTCCTCAGGGGGTGTTATTCTCTCTCTGTTCGTGTTTCTGTTCCTTCTTATTTATTTCACACTTCCCTTTCACGAACTTGGGTGCGCTTAGCTCTCCCTCTGTGGGCAATCTATCTTCTTGCAGTGTCCCCTTCCATTGTATTTGGTCGGCTTGCATTCCTATTTCCCCACTTCTAGCCTACTACTACTACTACCTCTCTTCTTCTACTCTACTACAACACTGATGAATTAAGACACATGTGCGGCGTTCTGGTTGTCTTTGTTTTGGATGTTTTCGCCATCCAGTGGTGGATGGATGGCGAAACGTTACGAATGGGAATGCCGGGTGTTGTGCCTGTGTCTTAATGCCATCTTGGGGTTTTTTTTTTTTTTTTTCTTCCCCCCCCACCCCCCCCACAAACACACCCCCCCCCCCCCCCCCCACCCCCCCCCCACCCCCCCCCCCCCCCACTCCCGGAAAATTTTTGTTAGTTTGATCTTATGAAATGGTTAGAGAATCTTTTTCTGAAGGTAATAAAAACAAAAAGTACGAAATTTGATGGAAAATTGACGAATTTCTGCTCTCGCGAATTTTGATGTGTCAGCGATATTTACGAATCGGCAATTTTGCCGACTGTAAACTCCATTTTAGGGCCAATGGCATTATTGCGTCGACCAAATTCTTAGCTTTTTTACTAGTATTACTTCTTTTCCTCATTGAGCACAAGAAATGCCAAGTCAGTCTGTTTCCAATACAAGAGAAAGTGAGTGGAAATGGTAATTTGGCCATTTATCACAAGTTCAATTATTCCAATTTCAAAATAGGGTCTAGAATAAACAATGGAGGTATTCCTGGCACTAAACTAACATTTCCTCTGTTCATTAGTTATGTTTTGAGGCTTTACAAATGGAATGTGTTTTGATTTTTTATCAATAATGAAGTTTTATTCAAACCAAAAAATAGAAGATTTACTGTTATGCAATATTGTAATAATTGTATAAATATCATCATACATTTGTGAATGTATATTAGACCCACCAGTGGATGTATTAGATGTGTGAAGTCGTTTGTTTACTCTTGAACATAGGCAAAAATTTAACATTTCCGCTACTTTGAGCTCAGTTTCAAGCCATTTCCAGTTCTAAAACCAATCAAAATAATCTCCATTCTGTAATATATCTTCATTCTATCAATTGAGACCAAAAAATCGCAATTACAACTATAATAAACATGAAAAAAACTCTGCAGAGTTGCTGTTTTAATCGAAAATCACGGTCTCAGTTTTTTTCTCTCATTAAACAATGTGTGCTACATCTATGTGGTATGTGCTGCACACATGTCACATGGATGTATTCTCTCATTATCTAGGCAAAAAATTTACCACTGACAGCTTATCAGAGTGAGTTGAGTCATGGTAACTCTACGTTTGGACCTGAAGTTTAAAGCGTGATCTACGGTACAGACCCTGAAAGGTTAAATGGTAGCATGGCATAATGTCGCTAGGTGGGCAGTCATGGGTGTGTCTCGAGAGAGAGTAAACCAAGGGTTAGCGTGTGGGTATCGTGATCTTTTTGACCAGGCAATTTTAGCACGTGGGAGTCGTATCCCAAACAAAGTTCATAGACACAAAAAATTGTTGGTGTCCGAGCAGGTCGTATACCGTGTTGGATTATCAAAGCGGACATATATGAGGGTACCACTGTAAAGGGCTATATGTCTCTTATGACCTGATATATGGTTATCATGGCCCTCTTAAGTATTGAGATGTGGTTATCAGGTTTTTTTAAGGATCGGATCTGTGGTTATCATGGCCTCTATGACTGATATATGATAATAATCCTCTTTTAGGGGCTTTTAAGGTGGGGTAACACACCATTGTTCACTAATCTAGTTTTTTTGGCCTAATAGAGGCATGTTATAAACAGCTTTTTTTCATTCCCCATCCTTTTTCTTTTGTTTAAAAGCTATTTTATAATTAATTCACTGGAAGTAGCATACAAGTTTCTCAGGATTTATTTTTTATGTCTGATGATATTTTTTTGTTAGTAATAACTCCAGCTACCTTTCTCGTCTGAAATTTTCAAGAATTTATTCACACAGTGGCTGATTTTCACTCTACTCATTTCTCTTTGCATGACCATATAATCTACATTAATGCTATTTTCCCGTATCTCTTCCTTGTTCTATTTTTTCCCAGGTGATCTTTGAAGAGAATATACAATCATGTTTATTATTATTGACCAGGTTGCATACCAAATCCTCAGTGGAGTTAAGCAGGCCGTAGGTCTCTGCAGGGCCAGAGAGCATCTACTTAGAAGATTAACGTATGTAATGAGTGCCAGTGCACTATTCAAAAATGGTTTTTGGATTATTTCTTCTTATAAATTAAGCATATAGATATAGGCCATAAGTTGTTCTAATCAGTGGTTGCCTATTTTAGGTTGGGTTCGTGCCTCGCTGAGAATTGGTGATGCTCTACTTGGCAAATAAGATTCTTAATTATAAAGAAACTAATGCTATATTCTGGAATACTTGTGGCCTGTTTCAAGGGTTTTTTCCCTTGCATTCTTTGCCTAAGATGAGATTTGTTAAGTCTCTCAACTGTACGTAATATTCAATAGGCATTCAGTAAGGGTACAGAAAGACCATAGTGAATCTCCCACAACCATCCATCACGACTCTCACTGTCCTCGTTACTAGCAAAACTCCCACTACCTTCATCAGT